CCTTCACATGCTCTAGAAGTTCACAGATGTGGTGGGTGATGGGCTACCTTGTGGTCGTGGTTCTGGGCCTGGGTGGTAGCCGGGTTCGTCATCCTGCCAGGTTTCTCATTGTCACCATCCAGGTGAGTTCTCCAGCACTGCCCTTGCTAGCTCACCCAGTGTGGCAGGTGTCAAGGGGTGGAGCCAGTTCTGCCCTCATACCCTCAGGTCTGGCTCACCCACACCCACACCACCAGGGCCAGCACTATGGTTTTGCTCAGGTGAGGTGCAGGGCATATTCTCCTGATTGCTGCACTTGGTGAGGGGCAGGCCCGCTGTCTTTCCCTACTGTTGCAGGCAGCAAGGGGTGTGTATGGGGGAGTGGAATATTTCCCTTGCCTTTGCCAACCAATGGCATCAGGGAGGGAGTGGGGACAGATTTCTTGCTCTCATGCCAACAGGGTCAGCTCTAGTGTGCTGCCCAGGCGAGGTGCTGTGCCCACTCTCCCTAGTGCTGCAGCTGGTGAGGAGTCATTTTTTGTCTTCAAAACTTCAAGGAACAGACTGATTCTCTTATTTTATCTAGTAAATTATTTTACATACCAACCCCAGTTCCCCCTCCCTCCCCTCCTTCTGCCCTCAACTTCCCTTTTCCCAACCCCCATCCACTCCTCAGATAAGACCTTTCTTGGGGAGTCAACAAAGTCTGGCACACCAAGTTGAGTCAGGATCAAGCCCCTGCCCTCTGTATCAAGGCTGAGCAAAGTATCCAACCACAGGGAATGGACTCCAAAAGGTCAGTTCATGCACCTGGGATAGGTCCTGGTGCCACTGCCACCCGCACCCCCAACAGATCAAGCCACATAACTGAGAGCCTAGTTCAATCACATGCCATGTTCCCCAGATGACAGTCTAGAGTCTGTGAGCTCCCACTAGCTTAGGTCAGCCGTCTCTGTGGTTTTTCCCATCATGCTCTAGATCACCCTTGTTCATATGATCCCTCCTGCCTCTCTTCAACTGAACTCCAGGAGCTCAGTCCAGTGCTTGGCTGTGGGGCACTGCATCTGCTTCCATCAGTTACTGGATGTAGGTTCTGTGACAACAATCAGGGTAGTCACTAATCTGATTAAAGGCGAAGGCCCATTCAGACACCCTCTTCACTATTGCTAGGAGTCTTAGCTTGGGTCATCCTTTTGGATTCCTGAGAGTTTCTTTAGCACCACGTTTCTCCTAACCTCATAGTGGCTCCCTCTATCAAGATACCTCTTTTATTGCTTCCCCCTCCACTCTTCTCCCAACTCGGTCTTCTTGATCGCTCATATTCGTATCTCCCATCCCCCCTTCTACCCACTCCCAGTTTACTCAGGAGATCTTAACTATTTTCCCTTCCTGGGGCCATCTATGCCTGACCCTCTTAGGGTCCCCCTTTTTACCGAGCTTCTCTGGGGTTGTGCACTTTGTGGCTGGTTGTCCTTTGCTTTACATCTCATAGCCACTTAAGAATGAGTGCACACTGTGGTTGTCTTCCTGGATCTGGGTTACCTCACTGGGTCACAGGATGATTTTGTCTAGTTTCATCCATTTGCCTGTAAGCTTAAAGATGTCATTTTTTTTTTTACTGCTGAGTGGTACTCCATTGTATAAATGTACCATATTTTCTTTATCAATTCTTCAGTTGATGGGCATCTAGTTTATTTCTAGTTTCTGGATATTACAAATAATACTGCAATGAACATTGTTGAACAGGCATTCTCATGGTAGGACTGTGCTGTGCGGATTTTTTTTTTGTCTTTTTGGGTATATGGAAAGAGTGGTATTGCTGGGTCTTGAGGTAGACTGATTCTCTTATTAGGGGATGCATTTGGACACTATACTTTGAAGTTAGCAGTAATTTACTATTCTGAAAATCCCAGAACTACTGTGGGTGATACTCTACAGCACTTGTCTGTGCTCTACAACTGGACAGCAAAGCATAGCTGACAAGACATCTGTTTAGAATATGAATTGTTGAACACCTTAAGTCCACTATTTAAACACTGTTTAAGAAGAAAAATCCTTTCAGAATATTATTGCTCATTGACAATGCTACTGGTCAGCCAATAGCTCTGATGAGATATACAATAGGACTAATGTTTTCATGCCATCAACACAACATCCCATGGACCAAATGATTGTTTCAATTTTAAGTCATAATGTCTGTCTAAGAAATACAGATGTTGATTCTTCTGGTGAATTTTGGCAAAGTCTTCTACAAAGGAGTCATCACTCAATATGCCATTATGAATATTCATTATTGATGAGAAGAGATTACAATTCTATACTAACAGGAGTTTGGAGAAGTTTATTATAACCCTCAAGGATGACTTTCAGAAGTTGGAGACTTCAAAGCAGATATGGTGGGATTAGCTACATAATTCAAAGAAGTCCTAAATAGTTTTATGCCAACTTGACACAAGATAGAGTGAAAGGAGGAAAATTCAATTCAGAAAATGCTTCCATAAGACATGGATGTAGGGCATTTTCTTAATTAGTGATTGATGGAAGAAGGACCAGCCCATTGTGGGTGGTGCCATCCCTGTGCTTCTGGTCCTGGGCTCTTTGAGAAAACAGGCTGAGCAAGCCCTAAGGAGCAAAACAGAAAGCAGCTCCCTTCCATGGTCTCTGCATTAGATTTTGCCTCCAGGTTCTGCCTTGTTTGAGTTTCTGTCCTGACGTCTTTTGATGATAAACAGGGCTGAGAAAGTATAAGCTAAATAAGCCCTTTCATCCCCAAATTGCTTTTTAGTCATGGTGTCTCATTGCAGCAATAAAAACCCTAAGACATTAGATGTGACTGAATTGCTTGAGGCAATCTCAAGACAAAACTTTAAAGAATGAAAAATTTCCTTTTTTTGGATAAAAAAGAAAAATGGTTCGTGAGAGGAAATATTATTGGTGAAGAATTTATGAACTTTGTTGAAATAGTAACAATGAATTTAGAATTCTACATTAATATATCTGATATAGGAACACCATAATTTGAGAGGATTGACTACAGTTTTGAAAGAAAGTCCAGTGTGGGAAAATTCTGTCAGATGGCATTGTGTGCTATAAAGTGTTTGTCAGAAGGAGAATCAGTCAGTGTAGTTATGTAGTTTTAAGAAATTGCCACATCTACCCTGTCATGACCAGATGGCCACCACTAACATAAAGAAAGACCCTCCACTGGCCGAACATAGAATGGTTGAGAGATGGTTCAAATGATTTTAGCTTTTTATTTTTCATAATGGTGTATTTTAAAATTAATATGCACAAATATTAGACTAAGTTCCATTAAACTGAACTAAATACAACACAATATAGTATGAACATAGCATTTAAAAATGAAATGTAGTCTAAAGTATGTTATGTTGCACACATTGGCCTTAAACATCAGGGTCTAGGTTATTTCCTGCCTCAGTCTCCTGAATATCTGGCACTACAGTTTTGTGGCACTGGTCCTGGTCACTGTGAATGTAACTTTTTTATGTACTAGGACAACAAAAATTTGAGTTACTTTAGTGCACACAATTAATGTCTAGATCAGATTGCTCATATCTCTGAGTTATAACTTTAATGCACACAATTAATGTCTAGACCAGACTTCTCATATCTCTGAGGCATAACTTTAATAGAGACATGTTATTAACTTTCAGAGGATGATTGCAAAAGTAGCTGTTCTCCAAAATAAATACAGCTCTTGGTGGTTCCTCCTAGCAAATCCCATTTGTATATGAATGGCACATGTGAAAGGTCACTGATGCTCAGATACCAAGGATGGAACTCATGTGGGAAGATGGTGTGGAAGAGTACCCAGAACTCTGCCATCAGAGCTTTCTTTGCCTCGGGAGCACCATGCAAGGCATTCAGAAGCCTCTGGTCACTTTTAAAGCATTTCTCCATCAAATCCTTTCTAGTTTGCTTATGAGACTATTCCATGAACTTAAAATTTTGCTTTGGAGGGTTTCAACAGTTCTGTAAACTTTAATTGGATCTTCTTTAAATTTTCAGGTCTTCTTTGGCTGAGACTTTGTTTTGTTATTTTGCTTTAAAAGCCTTTACAATTATCGGTGGGGCATTTGTATGATAAATGCTCTAAAGTCTTTGCTATGCAATGCCAGTATCATTTGGATGTCATCAGCTGAGTCAATGCAGCTGCTACCTTGCTGGTCATGTCTCTTTAGAATCTACACATGAGTTGTAATTTCTAAGACTGCTAATTGTTTTGAGTGATTTTATTCTGTATCTTGGACACTGGAGATTTGAGTTTCTACTTAATAAGCTTTAGAAAGAATGTTGATAGATTTGCTTTAGAATGCAGTTGACTACTCTGGTTAGTTCCAGGTCACAGATCTCATATGACTTTGTGGACTGTTGTTCAAACATCTGCTCAGTTCTTCAAGTCCCGATCTTTTTGTTCCAGTGACTGAAAACCTGGTGTTTAATTGTATTGTCCTATATACTTTCAGTCTTCCTTTGTCTAAGGAAGAAAAAGTAAAATAGGCATTGGGAGTTGATGACTCATTTTATTGCAGTCTAGCTCCACTGAACAGAAGGGAAGTTTCCTCTCTTTCAAAATGTGGGCTTTTGGCTTCTTGGTGTAGGCACTGGGACTGCAGAAGCTGGAAAATGGGAAGAAGTTAGTGTCTTTGCTTTGTCTTTATGTTAGCAGTTATATCTCTTGCTTTCTGGGTCAAAACCAGAGACTTCTGATTCGGTGAGTACCTACCTCCATATTTCCTGTGCCCTGAGTCCAGGCTGGGAAACTGTAAAGAAAGAACAAGGTTGAAGTGATGCTTGCTTTACTGTACTGGCCTTCTCTCTGTGTGCTTCCATAGGAGATCACTTCAGGAAGCTCATGTGACTACATTGGATGGCAGTGTCTAGGTGGCATATTTTGTTACATCTTACCGAAAGTTTGGGTTCTGGACTATATGTAGGACCTGAATTTGCAATTATGTCAGTAACTTGTGGCACTTAAATTTATTTTCTTTTGTTGGCAGTGACCAAATATGAGGTGTATATTACAACAGGCGAGCTCTGGAATGCTGGAACATTAGCAAATGTCTACCTTTCTATCTATGGGGAAAAAGGAGATACAGGATCCAGGAAACTTTTTAGATCAAAGAGCGCTTTAAAGTTTTTAAGAGGACAAGTAAGTAAACGAAAATTACTTTGTCTGGTTTTAAAAGTATTATTGTGATAAGAACACATGGAATTTGGCACTGTGGCCATTCTGTGCATTTGAAACACATAGTTCAGTAGTATGTTGGTTAGTTTTTGCCAAAATAAAACAAATTAAAGACACTCTGCAAGAGGGAATCTGAATTAAGAATTGCCCCTGACAGATTGGACTGTGTATGTGTCTGTGGGACATTTTCTTTATTAATGATTGGTGTGAGGGCCATAGTCCACTGTGGGTGGTGTAATGCCTGGGAAGGTGGTCCTGGGTTGTATACAAAACCAGCAAGTCAGTGAGCAGCTTTCCCCCATGGTTCAAGCCTTTGCTCCTACTTGAGTTCCTGCTTACATTTCCCTCAATGATAGATGGTGATTGGCATGTTGAAGCAACCCTATCTTCCGCTGGTTCGGTTTGGTCTGAGTGTTCCATTGTTGAGACAGAAAGCAAACAGGGACAAGTAGCTTATAAAGGCAGATGACATTCCTCTTAGATGGTTTGACTTAAAAATTTTCAGTAGAAAGACAAAAAGATGGAGGTGAATGTCGCATGCACTGAGTAGAAAGCAGCCCTTTAGATTTTTAACTTTTATTCACATTTTCTTTGCCTTTGTAAGCTAGAGGTGCACAGTGGGACACTTAAGCAAAGCTGAGGGACATAAATGAGCCATAGTACCTACTCAGACACATATTTGTTGGAGCAATAGGTAAGGCTTTCTAGTATACATATTGCTGAACTCAGATGTTCCATAGATTAGATTTATTAAATGCACGTTAGCTTACAATGGATTTATTGGAGTTTGACCACATCTTAACTAAAGAAGCATCTATAGTCTCATGTATAAAATGCTTCCTAGAAAGTTTTCATTTTCTAAAGCTGTAAATCTATAATTATTCAGTTAAAATTACGCAATTTACTTTTCCTGTTCTTCTGCTTGTGTGAATTGACTACTTTAAATACCTTATATAAACTGAATAACAGTAATTTTTATAACTGTTTTTTTCACTTAGCACAATATCTTTAAATCTCACCTATGAAGTCATATGTGATAGAATTTTCTTCTTTTAAATACTGATTAATATTGAATTTGCTATATACTACACAACACATATAAATTCATTCATGGATAGATAAATGGGTTGCCTCCACTTTGTGAGTATTGTAAATAGTACATGGAATTACAAATATTCTTGAGATAATTGCTTCAGTTACTTTGAGGAGGGAGCTACTGGGCTATATGCTAGTTTATTTTTAATCTTGGAGAAACTGCCATCTTGTTTCCAGTAGTGATTATAATATTTCACAGTTTTATCAATGATGGACAATGCCATTTTCTTTCTTAAGCAATGGTCATTCTTGTGAGCATGGGTTATAGATCATTTTAGCTTTAATTTACATTTATCTAATAATGAGTGATGTTCAACAATTCATATATACTTGTCTAATTACATAGGAAGAATTGTTAGTAGTTTTGAAGTGAGTTAATTTTGTCTGTTATTGTTGAAGCATAAAATCCTTTCAGAAGAGTGAGTAGGAAGGTTGTAAGAGACAGTGGATCAGGGATTTTGCAGTGAATGTGTCTCCTAGCAACCTCAGAAGCTACACCTGTAATGTCTCACTGACATGACCACTCATGGGTGGGCTAAATAAGGATGATACCAATAAGGTAGACAGAGGAAAGCCCACAAAGTTTGAAGCCCACGCAAAGAACCATAGGCAACCAACGTAAGGCTGGGAATGGGTGAGGTAGTCCTCCCCAGAGAAGAACACAACAATTTCCTGTCCAGTCCAAACTGTCATCTCAGAAAATACACATACAAGGAACATCATATGGACTCAATAGCTTATATTTAGGAATATGTATTATACATGTACATATATATTCACATATGCATACAATAATAATCATTGACTAAAAGAGGTGAAGAATTTGAAGGGGAGCAGGGTGGGATATTTAAGAGAATTTGGAAGAAGAAAGAGAAGGAAGAAAAATAATTATATTCTCCAAAAGAAAAACACAAAAGCTCAACAATGGCAAAAAAGGAAGTTATTTTTGCCTGTGTACCCAAAGCTTTCTTTGTACATCCTCATTATCAAAATTCTCATTTTGTTTATTCACTGCTCCTCCTGGCCTAAAATCTTTATGGCTGTTACTTTTAATTTTCTCCATTTCATTAAGACTTATTTATGATTTATTTTGTCATTGTGTTTAGAGCATATCACCTTCCTTCTTTATGTCTCTGGATTTTATGTATTTGTTCAAATCCTGCATGCCCCATGTTGTCAGTCTGGTTTCACACAGCAAGTAAACTTGCCAGCTCCAGACTTGGTGTTAGTCTAAACTCATGTTTACTTATCATTACTCAATGTTTTAGCATTTGATGTTGAATCTATGACTTTGTGCCAGAGAGGCAAGTGCTGTATCACTTAGATATAATGTCTGCCCTTGCTTAAAAAAAACTTTTGCAGACTGGGTCTCAATTAGTTTGTCTAGGATACAGCCAGGAAGGCTGGCCTTGAATTTGAAATACTATTGCCTTAGTTTCTCTCCTGGTTATGACCCTGTATCACCAAGGAGAGCTTAAAAATGTTGTTTATGTCCAAGTGTTGTCTGTTTCTCCCCAAGAACACTAAGTTATTGCAAAGTTTGTCAGCAACTGAACAGGCAGGATGGAAGCCAGTTTGTGAGAAGCAGCTGTATGTTATGCAAATAATCTTGTTCCTTAGAGAATGCAACTGTTATCAGCTCTCTCTCATTGTCTTTATAAAGCCAGGAGGGTTCTATGGCAAATCTTGTACTCCAGTTCAGAATTCACACTTCCAACTATTTTGTTATGTTCCTTATTGCAACCAGGGACCTTCAGATCCCATCAACCCCAAAAAAAGATGCTTAGCTGTGGGATAATTCCAATGTGGAGCAAGTCACAGGGGAGAGCTGTATAAAGTGCCTACATGTTAGGCCCTATTGCTTATGCTCTTAAATGGAGACTAAAAGACTTGACCCATGGACAGTAGCTGGAAGCCGGGGCATTAAGTGTAGTCATATCCTGTTTCAAGGATGTGACTATTAATCTTAATTGTCAACTCAACTGGAATTAGAATCACAGCCAGATTAGTTGGATTAACCCTGGCTGTCAATCAGGGGACTGGTGTCACAGCCAGGTCACTCTCACAGCTTGTCTTCATTTTGTTACTGTAGGCAGATTCATATATTTTTTCATGAGCTTACTTTTTACAAGTGAGTTTTGCCACATCTGAATTTATATTTGTGGTAAAAAAGCAAAATTATAATCTATATCTAATTACTTTTTGTTTATTGGTTGCAGATTGATACCTTCTTCCTAGAAGCTGTAAACCTTGGAAATTTATGCAAGATTGTGATAGGCCATGATGGCCTTGGACCAGGTAAGGCTCCTTCACAGAGCTCTAATGAATGTCTACTTTCTAGTCCATCTATATGAAACTCTGCATGAATCTAGTAAAGACTAGGAAAAACTTATAGAAAGACAATCTTTAGAGAGGAAGCGCTAAGGAAGGAAGGAAAGGAGAATCCTATATGTCTTATTGAAATAAAAATATTTCCCCAGACTTCCTATTAAATTGATGTATTTTCTTCAAAATGGTGTAAGCTGACTGAGTGGATGCCATATAATAGGCCTTGGATGCCAGAAAGAATCATTTTGAAAGTGGTATTTGGATGTGAATGTTGTGGAGTATGCCTGTGATGGAGGCAATTGTAGTGTCTCTTGCAATGATGGAGGCAACCAGAGAGTCTTCCCACAATAATGGAAGCAACCACAGTGTCTCCCCACATTGATGGAGGCAACCACAGTGTCTCCACACAATGATGGAGGCAACCACAGTGTCTCCACACAATGATGGAGGTCACCACAGTGTCTCTCCTCAATGATGGAGGCGACTACAACATCCCTCAGCAATGATGGAAGCAACTACAGTGTCTTCCTGCAATGATGGAGGCAACCAGAGTGTCTCTTCGAAATTATGGAGGTAACCATTATGTCTCCCTGAAATGATGATGGTAACTGCAGTGTTTCCCGCAATGATATTTCTTTAAAGGCTCGTCTTTATCCAACGGTGCTGGGTTGAGACACCTATCTTGACAGTAAGAACTTGTATGTGTTTCCTACTTCCATTTTGTTCATGTGTCTTCCCAGTTTTCCTATTAACTCTGAGTTAATTCAAACATTTCTAATGAACTTATTTACTGTTATTTCATAAGCAACCATACTATAAAGAAATGCATTTGAATGAAGGACACATACTGAAAAACAAAACTACAATGAATAAAAACAGAGATGTACTAAAATGTGTCAATATAATTTCCACATTAGTAACAGGTCTCACACAAATATAAAATGAATATAAAGTGAATGTCTACTTCAATAATGAAGGGGAGGATTGGTAAATTAACAAAGCTGGTTAAAGTGGTTATGAAAGCCCCCATAACATTAGATATATAATTAGTAAGACTAGAAACAGCACCACATAAGACCCATAAAGTAAGTAAAATAGGGTCAGTTTCCTATAGACTATAAAAATATACCTTTGAAGTAGTCTCTATTGGACAAAATTTATTTATAGTTTAATCAGATATCCATCATTTGCATATTGTCATTTTGTTAGTTGTCAGATGGTTTAACAGTCAAGTGATGAGTCACTCCTCCAGGAGCCAGAGGACTTTCAAGTAGCTTTTATGACAGTGCCCTAATTATATAATATTTGAAGAGCCACATAGTCATATATTGCCTTATTTCAGAATTAACTTTTCTAAACAAGAGTAGAAATTCTCAGCATAAAAATTCTCACTTTGAATCATGTGTTATACTCAGGAGACATTAAATATTGAAAATGATAGTTATATTTGTGACATACTAGGAATGTGTAAATAAAATTAAAGGAGTTTATTCATAATCTTATAGAGTAAAATTTAAGGTGACAATCATTAAAGATACAGTAAAGAAAATTATTTTCTGTTAACATTTATGATCCCCAATGCAGCTTTAATACTCCTGAGACTTTACTTAACCAATAGCATTTAAGCAAATATATGAAGAGTCAAGAAGAAATGAAAACACACATACACACACACACAACAAAATTTCATCATGTTTCAAAATTTGAAAGGTTAACCAGGTACTTAATTATACTTTCAAGTGTGTGTGATCTGTGCAGACTTAAAACTCCATGAATCATTTTATAGTTTATCAGACTCCAAATGAAATATCGGTGGATGGTATGAGAGCTGGACCCTTCTATTGAAATTTTATTTTTCAAAATTATGAGCCAAATACTCTTATTTTCTTTTTAAAATTAAAAGATAATACCTCAGTAAATTTGCCTCAAAGACCACATTTTCTAATTACAATGTAGTAAAATCTAAAATTTAATAAATTTTATAAATTTATAAAAGCCTTAAAAATTCATCCCCAACTGGTGGTGGTAGTGCATGCCTTTAGTTACAGCACTTGGGAAGAGGCAGAGGCAGATGAATTTCTATGAGTTACAGGCCAGCCTCAACTACAGAGTGAGTTCCAGGACAGCCAGAGCTGTTACACAGAGAAACCCTGCCTTGAAAAAAATACCAGCCCCTTGTGTACTTTCAGTTTTCTCTATAATTCTGAAGCAAAATGCAGATCCTTACTACAATTATAATGTAATACAGTAGTACAGTAGTATCTTTATTGTCTGATTTCCTGAAGAGGCTCAAAATAATAGGTAGCAGGTTCTCAATATTTTGGTTATAGTCTACTTCAAAATAGCCTCGACTTGGTAGATTATTTTTTTTTCTTTTTTTATTATTTATTTTTAAATTTAAATTTAGATTAGAAACAAGGTTGCTTCACAAGTCAGTTCCAGGTCCCTCTCCCTTTCCCTTCCCTCCTCCCGTGTCCTCTCCCCAAACCCCCCCTCCCGTTATCCCCTCATTTCCCCAGGGAGGTGAGGCCCTCCATGGGGATATCCATAGTCTGTCATTTCATCCAGTTCTTCTAGAAAAACACTCTATATTTTGATGTTGAACTTCACAGTTACTACAACAATAAGAAGTAAATCTGTGATCTTTATAAACTACCAAGTCCAGTGGTGAGAGTGGTGTGTTGAAATCTAGGGTAGCCAACCATCCTATTTTTCTTGGGTTTGTTATGGTCTTAGTACAGAAAATTCCATGTCCTGGAAACCTCCTTTGACAGACTGGAATATTTCAACCCTCCTGATCCAGAAACTCGGTATGGGCCAGCAGTGCTCATTATCATTGACTATGGTGACTCAAATGTCTACTGCAGCTTGAGAACCAGTCATCTAGGGAACTGTGGGGAGCCTGCCACTGCCTGCCAGTGAAGCATGAGGAGGCATGGAGCAAGGCAGAGAGCAGACAAGGGAGGCTGCACCAGCTTTGTTAAGTTTTGTTCTGAAATTTAATTTAAAAAGGGTATATTTTGAGATGGCTCTGTGTGCAGACAAAACTACTATCAGTAGTTAGAATACTCTATTATTGCCAATAAATAAAATTATATTTTATCCGATTTTGGTTTGCAAGTTAAAAAAGAAGAGATTATAGTCTTTATATGTACCAATCTTTACTTGTCTGAGTTCTTAGATACATTATAAGTAACTGTATTTTTAGCATTTCCAAAATATATATTTTGTTTATATAGACTTACATGGTATTTGGGAAATCTTGGTAATTTTATGGAAATATAAAGTATTGCTAACTCATGAAGCATATATTCCTAAAGATGTTAGGTCTAGGATTATAAATATAATTTCTGAAACCAAGGACATGACTATGCTATATTTATTTGGAAAGTCATATTGAAATATATGACATAAAAATCCTTAAAACAATGTTATACTTTTGCTGAACTATGTCAACATGTCTACCACTATCCTTCTGTTACAAACATCTTTTTGGAAGTAGTAGAGTTTGATGTTGCCCAGAATTTATTTAAAATTGAGACCTGTTACCCAAATCATGCAACAATACACATAGTCTACATATCCATTAATATATTTTACCTTCTTAAATCGTTTCTTAGGAAATGGCTGGTTTCTTGAGGATGTTGTCATCAGGGATCCCACTACCAACCATGAGTATGCATTCTTCTGTCACAGGTGTGTTTACATAGCCAAGTCAGTTCATATCAGACAGTTGTAAATTCATATACTGATGAGAACTAGTTTATCAATTATTCCTGGTTCCTGAGGTTTTGTTATATAACATTTACAAACATTATTCTTTTTATTAATTTATGCTTTGACAGTTTAATGCCCATATATAATACGTTGTCCCCACCTCTCTATTATCTTTCTTCTGTTCTACCAACCTCCACTCTCCTCCCAAGAAGTGCCACCCTATTTTCATGGGTTCTTTTGTTGGCTTTGTTTCTGCTTTGTGTCCCATTAGTTTTAACCAGGTATAAGCACAAGTATGTGGAGCTATAGATGATAACTCTCTTGGTAGACATCGATTGCTATTACCTATGCCAGGCATGGCTGCATGAGTCCATTTATAACTGCATGCATATAGACTGGGTCTTGTACAGGCAACTGCAGCTACTGTGAGTTCACTGTGTCACAGCTATGTCATATCTATTAAAAGTACCTCATACCCCCCATCATCCAGCTCTTTCAGTCTCTCTATCCAATCTTCCATGATTTTATTTGAGCCTTAGAGGAGGTAATATGGGTGTTCTGTTTAAGTATGAGTACTCAACAGTTACTTGACCTCAATAACTTGACCAGCTCCAAGTCTGTGCATGAGCCTCACAATTCACTGCAAAGTGAAGCTCCTTTGACCAAGTCTGAGAATGTTAATCTTTAGGGCAATCTTCTACGTAAAAATATTCTCAACTTTATGTACAATCAATTCTTGTGACTGAAATGGAATACTTTGGAAAAGTTTGTTGGAGCTTAAAGCATGTTTTTCCTTTGCAGCAAAGTAAGCATTGATGTGAAAATGTGATCTCTCTGATGAAGTTCAAACTTACCTTCAAAAATCCTCAATTTGTATAATAAATGTTAATTGTAACCCTTATGAAACCAGTGGCCCACTGCTATTGGGCCTTGACTGCTAACTCGTTTCTCTAGCAGCAGTGACAAATTTAATGTTTCTTTCAGTACTCGTATTCTTCCCCTTTTCTTATGGAACCAATAACAGCCATTGTCTAAATAACTGACTAGAGCTTGAACTGCAGCTGGTAGCCAAAGAACAGACAAAGTTATTATTTCAGCAGATATAAAAATCTATGACATTGGCAAGTAGCAGTAGAACTGACTGACTCCCCTGCGGGTGGTTGGCTCTTCCCTCCCTCACACTCTTTCTGTAACATAAGGAATATCTTTTCCACATGTACTGAACAACTTCATTGACTCAGTGCCATTCAGTAACTCTGTACCCATGCATTTCCCCCATTCCTGCTTTCTGTTATTGACTTGGGAAGATAAGCGCCAATGGATTGGGTAAATAAAAAGCTTGAAGATAACTGATGCATTTTTCTTTCCACAGATGGTTGGATGAAGGAGAAGATGATGGTAGAATTGTCAGAGAAATGTATGCTATGGATAATACTATCTTCTCTGTGAGTGAGTGTCATCATAAATATGCATGGAAAAAGTTTTATGATGACTAAAGAAAGTATAACATTCTGGAAATTAATCAACTTCTTTATATTTCCAGGGAAGAAACTAGAACTTAAGAGAAAGGAAACAGTAAGATTTTATTTTAAATGACTTAGCACAAATAATTTCAAATAGCTGTTTGATGTGTTAAACAAAAACAGTTTGCCATTTTGTTAAGGACTGCTGGTTAGCAGTTTCTTCTCTTTGTGTGCTCTCAGATGGTCTCTGCTTTGCTTATGTTTTAGTGGGCAGCCGAGAGCTGGAAGTTCAGGAGAGGAAATACTCTTCAGTTTTACAACAAGATTACTGGAGGGTTTGTCCGTCTACATCCTGATGGCATGGTTGATGCTGTTGGAGAGCAGACAGACAGATACGGTAAAAGTGAACATGTTCTGCATTCAAAACTTCACTGCAGTGAAGTCACATGAAACAACATGGGTGGGCATGGCCAGAAACACTTCTGATTCGTTATACATTTTTTATTAAATTATTTCAGTGGTTAAGAACATTCACTGCTCTTGCAGAGGACCCAGGTTTCTTTCCTAGCACCCATATGATGGCTCACAATCTTCTGTAACTTTATTTTCAGAGAATCTGATATCCTCTTTTTTACAGACATCAAGAAAGTACATGGTACACATACATAAATGCTTGGAATACACCCATACACATCAAACTGAAAAAATACAATATTTTTAAAAGTGGAATAAAGTAATTATGATGTTTTAAAAAAACAATACAATTTAACATACACTTATGGATATATAATGGGAGATGTCATTCTCTAAATCTGTCTCTTATTGGCTGTTGAATAAAGCACTGTTGGCCAATAGGTGGGACTAGGAGTTCAGGAGCATTCTGGGAGAGAGAGGCTCAGACAGTCATAATGTAGGATGGGGGAGAAGCAACATGTGGACCCTTCCTCTGGTAAGTGAAGGCCACATGGAAATACTCAGATTAGCAATTATGGGTTAAATATTTAAGTCAGAGCTAGCCAGTAAGAAACAAAGCAAACAGCCAACAGCTTCATAATTAATATAGCGTCCTGTGTGTTATTTGGGGGCTCAGACAGCTTGGCAGGACCAAGACAGTTGGTGGAAATACTACACGGTACAGATACAGATTTTGGCATTTATGGAATCATTAAGCCAAATGGGAAAGTGAATTAAACTGAAAATTCGTTAGCACAGTTGTAGATCCCTCCATCATCACCTCATTAGTTCACCTAATTAGTAGATCATCTGAACAATATTCCTTAGGAAATTGCTATCTTGAGCTTATTAATGAAAAAATTGAGGCACAAAGTGATTTGTTCAAGGTTGCTTTACTTAATGTCCCTTCAGATTCGTGTCACGATTCCTGCCTCCTACTTCTTGCGTCATTTTATAACATGTCAATGTCTAGGATATCTGTAATTGCTCACTAGCATGATTTAATTTCGCAAGTGTGTTTAGTTATAAAGCATCAATATGTACTTTATTATTAGACAAATTATCAGTTACAGGTTAAATTAAGCAAATGCCTTTCTATTTTGAATGATAATCTGAACATTTCACTTTTAAGACTCTGACTTTAAATGAATTTAAATTGTAAATACATAATGATTTTTTAAAATGTAGGCATCTGTAGTTATCCTCTGTATCAGACTTGGCTCTTAGCTAAAATTATTAACCATGTAGTTAGTTATAATACAATATAAATATTGAATTTATAAATTACATTGCTCAATGCTAGTAAATCTGTATATATAGTAAATTGGGTAGTTCCTTGTTAAAAATTGAGTTTTAGGAACTTATATCACTGAATAGCTACTGTAGTCTTCTCTCATTTGATATGTTTTGACAAGCTTCAATGTTTTAATTAATGCAAAGTGGGCTATGTTGGTAGGATAGATAGGAAAGACAGGTTCAATTTAGAATTACCAAATTTTGTGACAATGAAATAATTCTATGTACACACTATATTATGTATCTTAATCTATGTACTTATTTTATCTATGTGTGCCGATATAAGGTATCATACACACACACACACACACACACACACACACACACACACACCACAGAAAACTAAATTTCAGGCACTTATTAGGAAATGAAATGAATCATGGCTCAAGAAACCATTTATTTTAAAAATTATTTTGTTCAAATACATTTTACCTCAGCAAACTAAAGTATGTACCATATATTATGAATTTCATATACATCATGAGAGATTCTTTACCTCTTTACTAGTTGTAAACATTTAACTGGAATATTTAGAATATACTATTATAAGATTTCAGTGGAAGGAATTTTTCAAGTGCTTGTTACATAATTAAGAATATTTTCCAGGTCTCTTCGATGTGATTTTCAACAAAGGGAATATATGCATTTTCCAAAGTCATGAGATGAGGCATCTGTCCCTTGCCTTTGACAATAGTGTTGTCACTGGAATGGTGAGTACTAGTGACTTTTTGAGATACAGACCACACTTACATTAATCCAGGCTCCTGCCCTGCCCTCCTAAGTGTGGAGATTACAGCATTTCTTTTTAAAATGACGCCACATAGGATAATTGGTAAGCAGTGTGTTAAATCCTAATATGCATTATGATCTCTAATCTGTTAATCTATCTGTTGAGAGAATTCATGTTATACTATTTAACACAAGTAGACATGATATATAGAGCTGAGGCTCTCAGGGTTATGGTGTAGTGAATAGAAGCAGGCAATCTGCCTCACATAATGTTATATAGTGATTCAAGCCCACATTTAACAAGGAAAAATATCATTAAATAAACTTCTAATGTCAGTTCAGGCTAAGTGATTAATCAAGCTATCGTTCTTTGTGAAGTCGTCTCTTGTCTGCTTTGGACTTACAAAGAAACCCTGCACTGTGCTTCATAGTACATGAACAAGGCCTTAGTGAACACTTAGTCAATATGAATGTGGTGGACTCTACTTAATTCAGTGTAGAGATTAGAGGGCTGGGTGTATGGTTCAGGGTGTAGTGTCTATAAAGACCCATCCACCATCCCAGTGCGCCAATAAGCTAGTGGGGAATTCTGTCAGGTACTGTCAGAGTTTATCTGTTTCATACAGGTTTTATTGGCATGGGGCCTCGAACTTTATGGTTTGATTCACTCTGTCCACTGTGATGTTCTGGTGAAATCTTGAGTGGTTTAAAGGTCAATAGCTCTGTTAGTATCTGCCACCCTTGGCTAAATGAACTTTCTCAAGGTTGGTCTTGGGACCAGCCATTCAGGAGTATTCAGTGAGCCATGATTCCTCTGTGGGGCACAGAGTGGGCATGGAATAGGTCCTCAGACATGCCCAGGAATATGAGTACCTTCTTCTAACACTGTTATGTAGTTTAAATGCAAATATAGAATGAGACTAAAATGTTGTTAATTTCACTTTTCAGTCCCAAGCAGTCTTAGATGACAAGGACTCAAATAATTAGATAAAGAATAAGTAAGGAACCGGGCGGTGGTGGTGCACGCCTTTAATCCCAGCACTCGGGAGGCAGAGACAGGCAGATCTCTGTGAGTTCGAGGCCAGGCTGGACCGACAGCCTCCAAAACAATACAGAGAAACCCTGTCTCGTAAAACCAAAAAAAAAAAAAAAAAAAAAAAAAAAAAGTAAGGATAAAATGCTTATTACATCTCATCAATTCATCCTGACAGCAGAGTGATTCGTATGCAATGGTCTTCATGGGTTCTTGCTTCCAAAGCACGTCCTTGGAACAAGTCACTGCCAGTAAAGTTGGGTACTAAATGTGAGAGTGACAATGGCGTGAGTTGATGCCTACTTCAGGGATTATTTATACACTGATGTCAGGAGATTTTAAGCTCAATTATTTTTCCTGCTATTTCAGGGTTGGTTTCTCTCATTCTGTTTTAGCCTAGTGGAGGAGCCCTCACCGAGCTGCGGGTACTCTATCAGCCCAACCGCTGTGCCCTGCTTGAGTCAGCGCTGTGTCCGGGTCATACCCTGGTTGTTGATCGTCAAGGAAAAATAGCTGATGAATCATCTGTAGGCTATGCAGAACTTTCAAAAGAGTTCTTGGTTTTTGTTAAGGTAAACTCGACAAAAATCATCAGGGCTTATAGATCCAGACCCAGATTTCTTGTGTGTTATCGAAAGGTGTGGAGTTGACTCATACTGCAGCAATCAGACCTCTTTCCACTAGGGGGCACTGATGCCATTACCATTCTGTTTCTTGTCTCTGAAAAGCACCTGGGCCACATTTTTAGCAATAATGAGACTGTGATGGCAGTATCATCCTGTACCTAATGGAAGTTGGAGGTTAAGCTGCAAATGTGAATTCATAATGCAATCCCAGCAATTCTTCTATTGAACTTTCCGAATCATTAGAATCTGTACTCCTTGATTGTTAGATACTCATGATTTTGACCTAATGTTTATTTACATCTCTTTTCATATAGCATGCATTTTTGAATTTACTTAAATATTATTCTGATAAAATGTATATTTCTCTCTCTATAAAAGCTATTCTAATATAATAAAATACCATTCTAATAAATACCTTTAATTAATAGGATTGCTTATTTGTGTTCCTTTTCAGAAAGCTTTTTCATGTACAAGACTAATTTTGATAAAATCATCAGTATTTTAAGGGTAAAGGAAAAGACCTTCAGGAATATTGAGTGTTGGCTAGTAGAGTGTAATTAGTAAAGGGTGGATTATGATTCCAACCCAAGCCTGCCTTTCAAATATTTTATCATTATTCTAAAGTACTTGTTCACATTGTTTTATTCAAAAGAAAGCAATTTTAACTCATCCTAAGTTCAACAGCATTGAAACAAGGATCTACTATGTATATGTATATTTTAAAGTATTAAACACATGATCTTTTTCTATTTTACTCCTTGTGCATATAATAGTATACTATATAGTTGACATGTATCTTTCATTTTCCTGGCTTTGACAACTAGAAATTGAGTCTAAGAATTAAGATACAAATTTTTAAGGCTGAAGGAAAATATTCACCAACTTTTTTCTTCTGGAAATCTATCTGTTTTTGCTCCTGTGGCAGCTAAGGCAGATGTACTATTAGAGGGCATGGTATACACCTGTTCATGTCTTTCTCTACTGCAGCTTGGTCCCTGGGCTCACTAGTCAGGTTTGATAATTCACTGGAAGAACTCTTGTAACCATGGAACCTCTCAGTCCTTGATTCATCACTGAAAAAAAAGACACAGATCTAATCGGTGAGGTGGGAGAGATATAGAGCTGAGCCCCTGAAAAGCAGATAACTCAGAATTTGCCCTTGCCCTTTCCCCATGGAGTCAGGCAGGCGTGATTTCTCAGTGTTGGCTTGCAGAGGTATTCCAACAGCTCTGCTACCCAGGAAAATTCACCTGAGTACTAGGCTCCACACTCTGCAACTGCAGGAGTCCATGTGGCTGGGCTTAGTCTCCATGTTCTCAGTAGGCTGACTGTCAAGGTATGCCACAAAAATCACCTCAATTCACACTGCCACTTTCTGGTTGGCACAAGGCCTCCATACACAGCCAGACACTCCTTTTAGGCATGATGCTCCAGGGCTTAGAGATCACAGGTCAGAAATTGAGGCCAAAGCTAGGCCTCTGTAGGTAATGTTAATGTCTTTACTACCTTGCTCTCTTCAGCATTATCGTCAGCTGTGCTTATGTCCCTGACATATTATTTCCCTGATGGTTTTCTAGAGGGATAAACAGAGTTTTTCTCAATTGCTAGTATGGATTACTTTTGATTGTTTTGTTTCCCATATTCATATCTTGTGATTTGGGGGTTCCACACTAGAGAACCCACATGACTGATCTTGTGTTTGTCTTAGCCAAGTCCTTGTGGTGTGAGTATATTTCTGATGAGATTTCAAGAGCTTTTTATACATTCTTCTTAAGATAGGATTACAAGGATTATTCAAATATACTTTAGCTGTATTTGCTTTTTTTCTATCTTTCCTATATTCATCCATTTAACTGATATCCATGCAATGCATTCTATAATTCAGGTACCCAGCATGGTTTCTTTTTCTAATTTTGCTTTGTATGAATATTGAAATTATTTGCTAATAGTGTTTAAAATTTCATGAAAGAAACATTTATGTTTGTATCTTACTTTTCAAAGTGTCTATAGCTTCAGAACATTATCTTCTCAATAAGTAATCATAGCTATAAATTCACCTATAAGTTCTGGTTTGCTATTACTGCTGTTATTTATTTGTTTGTTCATTTTCATTTGCTAGCTGTTGGTAAGATCTGTCTTGCTGCACCCTCTCTGTAACCGTCTCCTTCTAGCAGAATGAGACTCTCATATGTACTGCTTTTCTGTTTGTTTCTCTGAAGGGAATATTCCTCAACAGCGCTGTGGTTATGCTAGCTACAAGCTTGTGTCAGGCCCTATGTCTACAGCCCGATGGGACCTGCACTGGTGCAGGCAACCAGTCAGAACAATCCTACTGGAGAGTGCATAGAGTCAGTTCTGGGATTTGCATGTTTGAAAGTGTGAAAAATGCACGGATGTTCCTGAGGATTAAGGATGGGCACTGTAACGGAACAGTAAGCATCTCTCTTATTTCTCTCAGCAATTGTTTAGGGTACTTGTGTGTAATAGCCATGAGAACAGCACTTTCTGAGTGCATTGATTTTATGTTTTATCTAAAAATACCTTGAAAATTGGATAACACATGTGGCATGCTCTCTTTGTACGGTGTTTCAGAGTGGGGAGGGTAGCTGTTGGCCTGGTGTACTTAGACAAAGACTAACTCCATGATGATCTTTGAAATATTGTCACATACAGAATACTTGGAGTTGTGTTTGTATTCAAAGCTGATTGTGATGACAAAGACTCTGGTTAGGAGATGAGATCTCCATCTCTTGATACCCTATCCTATACCTTTTCTCCCTCTACTTTCCTACCCGTCTTCATCAGGCTAATCTTGAACTCATGGCTGTGTCCTCTGCTTCAGTCTCCTGTGTTCCAGGCTTCCAGGCATATGTAGTCACCACAACTGGATGAATGCCTTCATTTCTAATGAGCTCTCTGATCTTCTGCTGTTACTGTTCTGCAAGCCTGCTCCACAAACCCAGTCTCTAAAGAGTCCCAACTTACTGTCTCTTTTTTCTTCTTAGTGCCTGAATCCCCACCCCTGAAAATTCCATACATCATGAGTAAGTAATTTTAAATTCTAAGTGAAAACCTGACTTTAGCAATCTTAAGCCTTAGGAAGGCTATTGAAGGGAATATAAAGGAATGATTTTCCTTGGGTGAGAGGCATATGTAATGAGAGCCTCACTATGTAGTCCTGGCTAGTCTGTAACTTGCTATATACTATTGATAGATTTTTTTTTTGTCCTTCCAGGACTGGCTGCTGCTTCAGCCCCAAATGAACACACAAATACTTATATTGATTATGAGACCATTGGCCGATGGATTGGGCTTCTAATTGGCTAGCTCTCTCTTAATTATTAATCCATTTTGATACGTCTTTGTATTTCCACATGGTCTTAGCTTTCCAGAGAATGCCTGGATGTGTTACTCCTTTTTGGCTACATGTCCTCTGTTTCTGGCAGGCTCTCTCAATGCACTTCTCCCAGAATTCTCCTCATCTCTCAGTCCTGCCTATCTTCTTGCCCCTACTGGCTACAGGCCAAACAGTGTTTTATTAAACAAACAATTGGACAAACATATATACAGAAGGACAGCCCCCATCATCTCCTCTTTTCTGTCTAAATAAAAAGAAAGGTTTTAGCTTTAACATAGTCAAATTATATATAACAAAACAGTTATCAAGTAAAACAACAGTTAACAGTATTTAGTCCATTAATATTTGGCAAAATTTAAAGAAAATGTTCTATAATATATTCTATCTCTGTGAGTTTAAGGTTTTATATGTAACTTATCTTTTATCATAACTAAATAAAACCATGACTATCTGTCTCACACTCCATCAAAGTCCTCAGAAGGATAATAAATAAACTCTAGAATTGACAGCAACATCTCGCTGCCTGGACAGTCATTCAAAGTTCCTCTGTAACGTTGCAGTATCCATCTTCAGCCCATAGGTCACAGTGTGTCTGACAGACTTCTCAGTGAAGCAGGAAGTTTTAAATGGTCTGCCTGTGTTGCAGTTTGTCAGTCATTTTTCTGTGTTCTGCAGAATGTCTGGCAGACTCTTCCATGAAGCAGGAATCCTTCAGGAATGGCCCATCTTGTTTTGGCAAATCCAGCAGTCACTTTCCTGTGGGTCCTGCATGTCCAGTTTGTACAGCATACAATCAAACAGTCCAGGCAAGGCAGTTTCTTGTCCAAATGGCTAATCTTGCCATGTTGAAGGCAAACTCCATAATGAGATTCTTTGATGCTCATCTTCCTTTCTGACATAATTGGTTTTGCCAGGAGCAGTTTTGTCTCACTGTCATGAAAAAACTCTAAACCATTTTAAATGCCATATTCTGTAGGTCTTTGAAAAGTCTGAAGAATATCTATCCATCTAAATTATCTCTTTATATCTAGAAAACCTAACTAACCTAACTGTAAGTTTTGACTATAATAGGTGACTACAATCTGAATTTAATTATACATTGCAATTTTTAAAGATTTATTTATTTATTATGAATACAACATCTTGCCTCATGTATGTCTACACACCAGAAGAGGGCACCAGATCTCATTATGGATGGCTGTGAGCCACTATGTGGTTGCTGGGAATTGAACTCAGGACCTCTGGAAGAGCAGTCAGTACTCTTAACCTCTGAGCCATCTCTCCAGCCCTTATACATTGCATTTTTAAATGAGCTATATAAACACAATACCTAAACAAGAGAAGAAATATACCTATAACTACTGACCTTACATTTTATCAATAAATCAAAATCCATACCAATGCAAAGTATTAATTTCTATCTCATATTTCCTTTTTTTCCTTTAGGAAGAGATTGGCTGTGATAATGAATCATTTGTAACCAATCACATTTGAATGACAAAAAACATTTATAAACAATATTTGGGGATTTGGGCGCCATTCTCTCCAAACTGCCTCCTGCTGTTTGGGGGGTGCTGACAATACCATGGGGAAAACACAGAAACCTGGCTAAATCCTGGCCTTAGCAGCTGAGGCTGCATCATCTAGTTTGTTTTTGGATGTTGAATCACCTGGGCCACTGCTTCAGGGGGTCTTGCTTGATCAACCTACCATATTAGTCTGGAAGGAATCCACAGCTTTTCATATTCTGTGGAAACAAGAAGAGAACTTCTTCTCCAAAGTAACCTTTCCTTAGACTTAAATTTTGAAGTCAAGGCCTTTTCAAAATACATAGATTGGGTTAATCCAATAGCATTTATAATCAACCGTCTGTTGGCAGCTGTTGCTCTTTCCTCAGCAGTCAAACAATTCAAAGACAACACAATAACATACAGTATCCAGACCTTCTGTGTATTTTCCTCTTTATTTGACTTTTATTACTTTATTTCTTTTACTTTTACTTTTTCGTTTTTTGAGACAGGTGTTCTCTGTGTACTTTTGCCTGTCCTGGAATTTATTCTGTAGAACAGGCTGGCCTTGAAATCACAGAGATATGTTTGACTGTGCCTCCTGAGTGCTGAAATTACAGGCGTGTGCCACCATACCCAGCTACTCTATTTCTTTTTTAACCATTTTATCCTTTTTCTTTTCTCTCCCAAACCTATGTATATTTTTAAACACATTGTAAACCCTTTAGAGGTTTTTCTTCATCTAAATCTGTCTTTACTGTATATCTCTATCTTTTTCTGGCCACGAGTCTTTTATCTGCTAAAGAGCATGGCTAAAATTAAAGTGGCAGGTGGCCCCATTCTATTCCTTGGCTTTCCGAGAGTCTAGATTCATTTCTAGCTTCATGCTTATTACCATAATTCTGTGGAGCTTCTCAGTTCATGCTACCATGAATAAGCATGCTTCTGGCTGCTCAGAAACACCACTTAATTGTCTTAAAAGTGTCGTGTGTGCTTTTTGCCTTTAATGCTGAGTCAGGAAAACACCCTTAAAGGAGTTGCGAGTCTCTGCTTTTCTCTAGGAAACAGAGCCCACACAAGAAAATGCTGCTATCAAGAAGCTGTGCCTGTCTCTGTTCTTTTGTTTAGAATCCCTTTTAAAGTTTTTGTCAGGTTTTACATGGAAAATCTTGCCCCACAGGTCTGTGCCATTTTGTTGCTGTTTTTTCTTTCCTATCTGGCCCCACAGTCACTTTAGTTCCAAAAAAACACACAGAGATGCCACATTAATTATTAAACTGTTGGTTGATGGCCAGGGCTTCTTATTGACTAGTTCTGTCTTAATTATTAACCCATTTCTATTAATCTAAGTATTTCAACGTGGTCTTATCTTACCAGAGAAGGGTCTGAACCTGTTAATCCTTCCTCCACTAAATGGCGACACTTCAAGGTCTCTCCCTGTCTACCTTTCCCAGAATTCTCATCTCCTAGTCCCGCCTATCTTCCTGCCTCTACTGGCTATAGGCTAAACAGTGTTTTATTCATCAACCAAAAAGAGAAACATATATACAGAAGGACATCCCCATCAACAAGAACCTGGCTAGCCTCAAATATAAAGAAATCTGCATGTTCCTGCATCTTGGGTGCTGATATTACTGGCATACAGCACCACTTCCAGCACAAATTAAATTTCCATATTAAATGGAAATTAAATTTCCTATCTCTATTTTTATTTTAAACAGCTTAGTTTAAATGAGTGATAGAACTTAGAGAGCTTATGACTCCCTCTCTCTCTCTCTCTCTCTCTCTCTATATATATATATATATATATACATACATACATATATATATGTAAAGGGGATTTATTAGATTGGCTTACAGACTGTGGATGAGCTAATCCTGTAACAATGGCTGGTTATGAATGGAAAGACCAAGAATAGAATAGTTCTTCAAATATTGAGACTGAATGTCTCAGCTGGTCTTTGGTATACAATATGGGTTGGAATCCTGAAGAAGTAGGCTTCAGTGCCAGCAATGAAGTGAATTTATTATCAAGGAGAGAGCCAGAGGCAAAGAGTAAAAGCTTCCTTCTTCCATGTCCTTAGAAGAAGGCATGGTATCTGGTATAGGTGGGCTTTACAAGCTGCAAAGGTCAAGATTAAAGATGTGTTTTCCCTTTTTTTTTTAACCAAGAATATGTCTTCTTTTTTATTTAATTTATTAAAATTTCAATAATTTACATCCAATAGCAGTTTATCCTTTTTTCTCTTCTCCTGTTATCCCCTGCCTCCCCTCTACCCCCACCCACTCCTCTGTGAGAAAATATATCTTGTATCTTTATTTTCTTTTGTAGTTTACATATATTTATTAATTTTTTTATTCATTTTGCATACCAACCATAGTTCCCCCTCCATCTTCTCCTCCTTCTCCCCCTCTGCCTGTCCCCAACCAACCCCTCATCCACTCCTCAGAAAAGGGAAAGGCCTTCCATGGGGAGTCAACAAAGCCTGGCATGCTCAGTTGAGGCAGAACCAAAACCATCCCCCTGCAATGAGGCTGAACAAGGCATCCCACCATATTGAACAGG